CTTTCCTTTCTGGATCATGCACAGTATCTTCACGCATCCTTCTCCTTATTTAGGCATGCCAGCTACTTACTTCCTGAAGGCGCTGATATGCGGTCTCTTCGTACTAAATACAATCTGGACTTACCTGATCGGCGCCATACTTGTACGGAAGCTGTGTGGCGGGGCGCTTGAGGACTCGCGCTCGGATGCCGAAGAGTCGTCAGATGAGGACGTTTCTAGGAAGACAGACTAAAATGTTCCTGTTTGTATCTATAATTATCCTGAATATATGCGTATATGTGTGCGTGTGCGCGAGCGTGTGTATGTGTGTGTGTGTGTGTGTGTGTGTGTAGTTTTGATCATTCGTGTAAGAATAAATGAGAATTGTGAAGTCTCATAATGATATGATATTGTGTCAGAATTGTATTTGTTAATATTTAATGTTCCAGGAGTTTATGCCACATGCATTCATATGTGTTTTTTCTGTACAAATTGATATTCTCAAATTAATGAAGATAAAATAGTTTTTATAATCATATATGATTATATATGATTAGTATTTCAGCTTTGGTAAAAATACAAACAACACTCCAAATTATAGTTAACTGAATGTAAAAGAATGAAAACCTAAGCAAGTTAATATTCTCTTATATATCACATTGTGCTCAGGCAGCATTAAGGCCCTATCACACAGAGGTTAAATCCTGGACGCCGGTTACGAGGCATTCCCTCATCTCGGGGCTGAGAAGGACGGCCCAGAGCCTTGTATCCTAAGCAGCTTCACGAGATTAGGAAAATGGCTTCTGTTGCTTTTCCGTCAGCCCCCAGATACCCCTTGCTTCCTCTTCTGAAGCACCAGCAAGTACGCCCACTTCTACCTCAGCCGCCATCTTTGTTGTTTTTGTACAGGCTCTATTTTAGGTTAATCCCCAGGTTGTTGGTCGCCAGTAGGGCTATTGGGAATTTAAGAAATAACTGACAAGCTGCCAATCGTTTTTCCTACTTCTATCTCATTTTTCTTCTTTTTCTTCTTCTCCCTCACTTATTCAGAAACAAATTCACTAATATTCACCTATTTTTAAAGTAAATCTAGCTCAATGCCGACACATGAGAATGTAAAAACCTTCCTTAAGCAACGGGCAGAAATATATATTAAGTAGCATTTCCATTTGTTAATTGATATGGCATCTATAACATCTATGTAGATGTACCTTACGATAACAGTTTTTACAGTGTAACAGCACCATATCTAAATCTCGTATTATCTTTTTATTTCCCTTGTCAGTCAATGTACCATAAAACAGATTACTCTCTCGCTGTTACACACTCTCATTTCACATAGGCTTCTTCTACAGCCTAATTGAAACACACATGATGAAGACATACTGTAGAATGCGAGCCTTTAGAAAGGAGGCCCGAATGATGAAAATCCTGGATAGTCACTTCGAGATAAAATATGGGAGCCAATCGTTGTTGTTGCATATCTGTGTTCCCAGTTTCTACGCTTCCCAGTCATCTTATCTTTACCTTCACTTTTACCATACTTCCCATTGCTCTACCTGATTTAACTTTACCTTACCTTACCTCGCCTTGCCTTAGACTGGGTAACATAGAATAAACCCCGTCCATCTTAATTACGAAATATACCCAATATTCGCTTGGGTAAGTGGAGTAGCAAATAACCTCCCTACACACAGATGGCTCTACAAGTGCTTAGTCACCAAGGAATCAGTTATTAGTCCTACCTATCTCACCTGTTTACCCTTTTCCTCGACTTTTGGAAAAGGTCTTTTGCATTATATCATTACCTTAAATGTTATTCAGATTTTAATAACAATTTGATATCAATATTATCAATAATAATAATAACAGTATCGATGTCAACTGTATTAAAAAAAAAAAATAACTCCCGCCAATTCAAGGAATGGGGAAATCAGGATCGGTAACTAGGGCCTTCTGATTGACTCCTTGCCGGCTGAGCACGTGGAGCCATCTGTATGTAACAACATTCACAAAAAATGGAGGAGACAGAACATAAATCCGGGGAGAATGTGTTAATATATTATGTATATTATGTATTATATATATAATATATATAATGTATAATTTTTATATAATGAATATATATATATATTTATATATATATTATTTACGTATGTGTTTATTGATAAGAACGATATGCCTATGCATTTTGTCTTTAGACTAGCCATGCTTACAAGAAATTTAGAATTGTCTTGATGATTTATTGTTTAACTTTTTTGTATTCTGTAGTTATCATTATTTATTATTGTAGTTGTTTTTCACACACCCATTCGGGTCACATGACTCACATTCTAGTCATATGTTGATGTTTGTGATTTCTTTGCAAATAAATTATATTTTCCATTATTGCTGCTTTCATTTAACTATATCTCCAGGGGAGGTAATATAATAAGTTCCACTATCACTATTGAAAAGGAAACATGATTTTCTCAGACAAAAGGAATTTGAACTTATGGTGGGATACGCTGATAGTTATTGTGTGTGTTTATTTGTATATATATATGTGTGTGTGTGTGTGTAATTTATAGCTTAAACAAACCAAGATCTGAATAGACTGTTCACAAGCAAATAATTGTAGTTACTTTTGCAGTGTAATCTATTTCCGCGAATAATGTAATATTAGCTTTTCTTCAACCCGTACTACCATATTGAGCTGTAGATACACCATAAAAGAAACATAGTACAGTTCCTCTTTCATAAAGGCATCATATTAATTATGATTGACAAAGCATTTCTGACATACAAAAAAAGTGCTACAAGCAAATACTGGAAGATGAGACAGCAATATAAAAAGCTTCATGACATCATCTTCAGGTCAGAGAAGGGAAAGGAGAGGAAATTGTTTCAATAGACTTTTTGATCATACATTTTACGAACTACGTGTACAGCTGAGTTTTTTATCTCACGTGGCGTGTTTATAAATAAGTAACATCTTAATCCGAGAGAGTTCAATGGGATCTCTTTAGAAGATCATATATGACTGCAGCTCAGATTCTTGATCTTAACCAGTTGTTTTAGTGTATTACGAAAGAGAGGTATGTATGTAAAATTGAAGTTAGATTACCAGATAATTCGTTGACAGCATTGCTTGCTCTCGTATCAAGATGTATGCATGTGACAGAAAGCCATTTTAACTGCACACTATGGCTGAATTCGTGTTTGTTTCTCTTTTTTCAAGGCACCGGAAGCCATGGATGGAGTCCGAGCCACAGTCCTGGATGCTGCGACCACCCCACCAACACTGACGAGCCTCTTGCACGACGACCCTCCCTCGACACCCCGCCCTGCATCACCGTGTAACCACTACTTTTAACCCGGCAAATCACCTCTTCTTCTGCAGGCGAATTACCCCTGCTGTAGAATGAACTTTCCCGACTGCGTCTCGACCGGTAGCATAGGTTGTGGTCAAGAGGGTCGCAAAGCAGGTGAGCAAGGGGTGAGGCCTCCCGGGAACACAGCTTAAAGTCACAGGAGGAAAGAGGAAGTGGGGAAATGGCCGATGCGGCGGACGGCGACAGTGGCGAAGAGGAATTCTTAGACTGCAGTGGAGTATCTCCGGCATGCCTCTTCCACAGAGAGGAGTGCAGTCTTTTTGCAATTTCCGGAGGGAATGTGGTCATAGAAGATTTAGAAGAATTAGATATAAATTCAGAACCAAAGGCCAGAGATGAAATTCTATCAAGTGCCTTAGCAGAAGATGAAGCAGCCACATCAGGAAGCTTAAGTCACAGCCATTCTCCCCAACAGACAGACACAAGCACCGCATGTGATTCTGTAGTGACTGAACCTTCTTCCTCTTCTTCCCCTTCCCCTTTGTCACCGAAAGTATGTCACATAGATCATCTACCGAATGAGATACTATTAGAAATATTTTCTTACTTTACCGTGGTCGAATTATTTGCCATTATCTCTCCAGTTTGTACAAGATGGAGGAGATTAGGTCAAGATCCAACACTCAGGAAGAAACTGGTTTTCTCCTTCCAACGACCAGTTGCAGGCGACAGGATCTGTGAGCTGCTGGCCGGGTCTCCGCACCTGCTTTCCCTGGAGCTGCAGAGCCGTGAAGATGGCGGAGACCTACTTCGTCAGGCAGCTACTTCTTGTAAGAAGCTCCGGGAAATCACAACAAAATTTTGTGATGGACTGAATGAGGACATTCTTAGGGCTTTGGTGGAGAACTGTCCGGATGTCAGGCATTTTAATGCAGAAGGCTCTCGAATCAGTTGCAGCGAATGTTATTTTGCAATTGCAGAGTTTCATAACCTAAGGCACTTGAATTTGTCACACTGTCAGTTCTTGGATAACTTGGGCCTTGTTGCAATAGCTAAACAGTGTCGCCAGTTAGAATACTTAAACATAGACGGCATTACAAAAATTTATGACTATTCCGTAGTATGTCTAACACAGGAAGTTGGTCCCTCTTTAAAGTTTTTGTTCTTGGACGGAGAAAATCTGACCGATGCTTCGTACACTTCCCTGGCAGCTTGTAAACACCTCAAAATGCTCGGAGTTTCATTCTGCGAGCAAATGACAGATGTTGGGCTGTCTGGCATTACTGGACTCTGCGAACTGACGTGGATGAAGCTTCGCAAGGGCGTCCACCTGACTTCAAAAGGCTTACAAAGTTTCTTCAGCAGCGGCCACCTGTCAAACCTGACTCACTTGAACTTAGGCGAATGCAGCTCAATGAACGATGATGTCTTATTTGCAGTAGCGGAGAAGTGTCCACGTCTCACGAATGTTGTCCTGCATTGGTGTTGGGATATAACTGATGTGGGCATGACTGCCTTAGTATCCAATTGCTCACGGCTGCGAGTGCTAGATTTAGTGGGCCTGGTTCAACTCACTGGTACTTCCTTCATTAACGTTCAAACTGCACTGCCAGATCTGCTCATTCTGGATTTGGAACAGTGCAATACTATCAATGACACCATCCTACAGCGTATCGTAGAAGAACAGCCTTCACTAACAGTTTTTGA